TTGTAATTTACACCGATGTCCAACAATATTTTAGAATGTTCATTCTAGCCCTCAATTTAATTAATTGTGCAACAAATGTCCTTCTTTATTTCAATTCAATCCTTTAATTTCCAAAATGTGAAATATTATCTCCAAATTTTCGTCCAACGGCTAATTGATCATTCTTTCTTTTTCAATGGCTTCAAAATGGGTCCAACAATAAAATAGGCGGAAATTAACCCAATTTAAGTCTAAATTAATAATTTGACGATATAAAAGTTTAATAATATGATAAGTACACAAATGTACTTATCAGCGTTTTCTTCAATGTACTTATCGCTTTCGCCACGCTACATCAGTTGGTATTAGAGCCACATTCGTTCCTAATATTTTTCATGAAATTTAGTGACAAAAGTTATGATGTATGATGATATCATTTTTATTCCTTTCAATCCAAAGGAGTCGATGGGCATTGAGTTGGATGAGGACTATGATGGTCTGCCAATTTCTGCTAATGAAGTTGAAGAATCTTTGAATTTGTTTGGTAACGCCGACGATACCCCAATTTTATCTAAAGTTGATAATTGTTTGGATTTGGCTGTTGACAATTATGACGGGACACTGATCAACGATGAGGAGCCACAGGGTTGAGATCTCCGCTGACATGCAGATACTAGATGGACAGTGCTCTTCTCAGAATTATTATATCAACTTGGTTTGTCTTCAAATCCTGGAGGAAGGGTAATATATGCAAAACATTTTGGGGAAACAACGAAATTGTCTCTGGCACATTGCTTTGGAAAGAAATGACTTTAACATTGCCCAGCATTCTGATCGCGGTTCATGGGTTGGGTGGTATGATAACCATTGACATGAGCTTATAATTAAAGACAATTATTTGGGGAGTGATTGGAAAAACTAATGTTTTAGACCAAATAATGTTGAGTGGAGAGAGAATCAAGCATACTCTGAATTATGTTTTTCAATTCAAGACGGCAATGTGCTACTTGGGAATAATCAATTACTTGCCAATTTTTCATTACAGGGGCATGAATTTAGTGCTCACAGTAAGAAATCTTTCACTAATGAAGATGGGTTTAACTATGAAAGGGATCATTTGGTTGTATACTTGATTGAAAGGCCAAATGCTGAATTTAATGTAGTGGTAGATAGGAGTGAATACTGTTCTATTTGGGCGGTCTGCGAAATTTTTTTAAACCAAATCGAATAAAGCTATTTGAAATTTTTTCAAACCCAAACAAACCACTTCAATTTCTAAGCCAAATCAATCCAAACAACTAATAAAAGATAATGAATAGAAAGATTAAAGACAATAATACTTTCAATAAAATTTTGTGAATCATTCAATGCTTCTATCTCATCCAAATATTAACGAATCATTATAGGATTTTTTCTTAATATGCAACCAATTTTTAAAACAAATCAGGAATCCTAAAGAAATCAGGAATCCTACCACTAGTAGGGAATGCAGACTCAGAAATAATTATAACTATATAAAGTACTAACACATCATTAGTAATTTGGAGCACAATCTTGTACTTGTTTGCTTTGAATTTTCACTAAAGTAATATGTCCAAAGATTCATTGGTCAAATTTTCAAAACGACCATTTAAGGAAGTCATCAAATCATTAGGAAATTAAGTTAAAATGTAAATAATTAGTTGAGTGACTGACCATGAAATTGAGACAAGCAAACAAAAAGTTATGTTCACTACAAATTTAAGGGAGTCCAACACAAATTAGTACAAACAACACAACTATCAATAAAATATAGCAATTACTTATCAAATAATAAGAACATTTGAATAAACTAACCTAGAAATTTAGTTGAAATTCGAAGAATTGTTATTAAACAGGAAAACAGTGTGTGAGTTTGAATTAAAATATAGATTTAATTGTTGACTTATTACAATGTAATGGGCGATCAATGTATATAGTACAACAGTTGTGCTTCTCATTCATTTGTGCTTGCTATGAAAGTGATCTTTGTAATCAAGAGATGGGGCATTCTTTCTCCCTATTTAACTAACAAACAATGGGGGCAAAGGCCTTGAATCCTATCTTTGACGGTGATCATAGCACTGGGAAGAAAGGGAACGCGGTTGCCATCAGAGCCGGTCCTGTGATTTATGGGCCCTGAGGCGAAGCGTGTAAAGTAGGCCCCTAGCGAAAGTAATTTAAATATAAAATTCAACGGTATATTATGCGATCTATTACTAACTTAAAAAACTATCATTAAAACAACAATTAAATATATTATAGAAACGATTTATATTATAAACCATCAAAACCAACAATGTTTCAAACAATTAGTTGAATACTATTCGTCTTGCCCTTTTAGAGGCAAAAACATCAATCAAATCTGAATAATTTAGCTGCCCAACCATTTCTTTTTCTATTGATAACATAGCCAACCCGTTTAATCTTTCTTGTGACATAGTTGATCGAAGATAGGTCTTGATCAACTTCAATTTTGAGAAACTTCTTTCCGCCGATGCAACTGTAACCGGTATGGTTAACAAAATTTTGTAAGCAATATAAGCATTTGGGTAACAAATATTGTGAGTCTTCAAATATTGCAGCACTTCAATTGCTCTTGTTGCTTCATTTGGTAAATAAATCTTCAAGACTGGTAACTCCGAACATAAATCATCTCCACTGATATCCGAACGCCCATCATGTTCAAGATATTTCTCAAGATTCATACAAGAGTTCAACAAACTTGATAAAGTTGCATCCCTTAACCTTTTCAAATTAAACAAAAATCCAAATATGTCATCATATTGTTTGAATTGTTCAAATCGACCCCTCAGAGAAGATAGAGCTTGATCAATTATAAAAACAAAGTACTCAACTCTAAAAGATTCTTCTGCTGATTGCTTTACCTCATCACTACCGCTTTCATCAAAATGTTTTTTCCTTCGAATTATGCGTTTTTCTATAAATACAGCTTCAATTTCCATTTCATTTGCCTTTTTTGTTGCTTCATCCATAGCAACGGCAAATCCGATTTCTCTATAATCTTCAAAAAATAAAACAAGTCCTTGCAATAGATCGATAGCATGATCAATATCCATGGATTCAGTTTGAAGAAATTTACTCACAATACTGACTGCATGCAACAACCTGTACCATATTACTATGCCAAGCAAGAACTCAAAATTCTGAAGTTCATGTGTTGCTAACGACTCGGCTTCACTCTTCACTTTAGGATCTTCGTTAGATTCTGCCAAATCAAGTAAGGCTTCTCTTATCTGTGCAGTTTGCTCCATTATAGGCTTTACACTCTCAACATGACTTTCCCAACGTGTTTGTGACAATGGCTTTACCGTCAACCCTTTTACATTATCTTTGAAAATTTTTCATCGCTTGGTAGAAGAGGAAAATAAAGTGTAGATGCGTTGTATCACTCCGAAGAAGGATACAGCTTTGGAACAACAATTCACCATATCACATAATGCTAGATTTAGACTATGAGCACTACATGGAGAATAGAAAGCTCGGGGATTCATTTCATGTACTCTTTTTTGTACACCTTTGTGCTTCCCGCTCATGTTAAATCCATTATCATACCCTTGCCCTCTAATGTCATCAATATCCAGATCAAGTTTGATCAAAACCTTTTGAAGCTCGGTTGCAAGTCCAAGTCCTGTTGTGTCATCTACCTTCAAAAATTCAAGCCAATGTTCCTCAACTGTAGGTAAGTTTGCTGAATCATCTACAAATCGTACTATTAAAGACATCTGCTCCTCACGACTTGCATCTGGAGTACAATCAAGTATAATCGCGAAATATTTTGCATCTTTAACTTTCTTGATAATTGCATTTCTCACCTCATTAGCCAACAACTATATCAATTCATTTTGGATTTTTTTGCCAAGATACGTGTATTGAATCTCTTTTGCATTAGCCCCTACTTCATCCTCATTCAACGCATTCACATTGTTGCTTTTGAAGTACTTGTTAATATCCCCTACTTGACTTTGAATCAATGCAATTTCATTTCGTTTCCTTTTCCTCTTTTGAGCACCAGACTCATATTTAGGAGGCATAGTGTATGAGTCTGTATCTAATGTACAATGATTATCCTAAAAAACAATTACAAAATATTTCAATTATCACACAATTACAATTTCCAATACAATTACTATGTGCGCCTGTGCAATTGTTCATCCCACAATAACCAATCATATAAGCCGACCAGGCTGCAATTATATAAGCCGACAAGGTTTCAAACATTTTCAATCTCTTTAATAACAAGTTAGGGCAAGCCATTGCTTACCTGAGAAGTGAAATTTTGACGATAATTGTGGAATTACACCGTTGAGTATGATCTCGTCACAACTCACAAGCCTGAAACAAAAATTTATATAAAATTATATATGATGTCTAAGATTGCCAAGCCTAAGATCTAGTGATGAGGGAATTAAGAATATTTAAGAGCAGCAAACCTTGATTTTATTGTTCGGTTTTAGTTAGTTGTTTTCGATAATTAGTTAATATTTGACGTTTGAATACATAAGACTCTTATAACCATCACATTCAAAATTACAACCCTTACAAACTTGCTAAAAAGTTAATTTGTTTAATGAAATATGGTGGCAGAGCCACTTCGGGTTAAGCACCGTTTCTATCAACTAAAAATAATTTTGCAATATTAATGGAATATTGAGGGCCAAAATGTTCTATTTCAAAAGTTGGGGACTAACTCTCTATTTACATATATAAACTCTACCATGCAGCATATTACTTTACAGAAGATGGCAAGCTCTTTATGTATTACTGCAACAGCTTCTTTACAGAAGATGGCAAGCTCTTTATGTATGTTTTCTGTTCTTTCAGTAATCAAGATATATCATTTTTAAAATCCTTATTGCACCTTCCCAACAATTACCTTTTAACAGATCCTTCATCATGTATGATCTATTTGTTTAAATAAAATAATAGGACAGGGCAAAGAAAGAAATTGTAATAAAAAAGAGGAAAACCCAAAGAGGTCCGACTTTGGATTTGTGCGCTAGAATAATTTACAAACAAATTAATTGTGGCTAATGATTATATGCATACACGATGCTATTAAATTGATAATATTATCACTTATGCATCTTATATATAATTGGTTGACAGAAAATTTCTAGAATTTTGAATTTTAGAAGACACGTGCTCATCACACGACCATGCGTAGAGTCTAGAGCAAATTTGTTTGACTTTCAATTGTCCCTCAAATGAATGAACCAAACCACAAAGGAAAGCAGAGACATAAAAAAAGCCAGAAAAGTTCTGCCTTATTTATTTTCCCAGCCCAATTCACCTGTGCTATCTGTGAAATTAAAATCCGATGAAGATGAAAAATCATACAACTTATTCACAAATCCCAAAACATTCGAAGTTTCAAACTACTGGCAAGAAACTGAGAAGGCAGCAAGCAAGAATCACAAATGAAAAATCATACAACTTATTCACAAATCCCAAAACATTCGAAGTTTCAAACTACTGGCAAGAAACTGAGAAGGTAGCACAGCCACACAGGTTAAAGTAAGAGAGCGAACCTTGTGCCAGGAATCACCCCAGTCGGCAGTCACCTGACTCACCTCCGTTGGATTTGCTTGAGATTTATCAGAAGATTTATTTGCACCACTTCGTGAACGCCTGAACGGTGAACCAGAGGCCAAGATTGAAGATCCAGCGGGTTGAACTTTGAAGCTATTTTGAGTTAGGGCTTGGGGAATGGGGCTGCTGTATATGATCTCGTTTTTCAATTTAAACTGGTCTTTTTTTTTCTTTAAAAAAAAAATTAATTGGACCAAAACGAGGCCCCCTATGGTCCTGGGCCTGAGGCGCGGGCCTCACTCGCCTCAGCCCAGGACCGGCCCTGGTTGCCATGAGGGAAAAATTGGAGTTTTTAACTTGCTTCAGAGGTGAGCATTTATATACTAGGGCTGATGGGTATTTGAGTATGATATAATTAATTAATTAATTGTAATGGATAATTGTCTATTTGAATATTGAGTTTAACTAGATTATGTCTAATAAATACTTATGTTTAATTTAAATTTGAAATCTTACTTTAATTAATTTTTAAATTTCTAAAATCATATTCCATTCCTTATTCTTTTAAAAATTTCTATAAAATATATTATTTTGTCACCAGAATATTTTAGAATGAAAATGAAACGTCGCTTCACTTTACAAAGTTGAGATGTAGAAAATGAAATGTAGCTTCGCTTTTACAAGTAATTAGATGTGGCAGGGCATATATTTGTACCATAGCAGTATCTATAAAGAAGTGTTCTTCTTTTTCTTTTATTTTTGTTCGATGATAACTTAATGGCTCCAATATCGATTCATTTTCTTTTTTGTTTACGTTTTCACCACAGAACATGTAATAAGAATAATTTTAATTTTTTCATGTAAAGATATCATGTTCAAGTTATGCATCGTAAATCAATTAAATTTTTTGTACTTCTGAAAATGCATACATACGTAAATGATAATGTATATTTGTTGTCATTGAATTAAACCTTGATGTTGAATATACTTAAATGTATTACTTATCAATCCATACATTATAATTTTTTAGTTTCATAACCTTTTCCTATTTGATTTGCAGAATGACATAATTAAAAATTTTCAATTACGTAATTGCCATCAAGAACAATCATAGTAGTCACCAATGGATTGTTTTTCTTAGTGATTCTCTTCGCTTGTTCTCCATCTATACCAAAGTTTTTAGGCTACATGAATTTATACCGTGTATAAACATTTTAACAATTTAAAAATTAACTATATTAAATTATAAAGAAAAAAATATGCTTAATATCCCAAAGAATAATAATCCTTGTGTTAAAATTTGAATTATTTGCAAGTTTAAGCATAATCTAAAAATCGTATTATACATATATTTTATATTAATATACATGAATTAATCGGACATGAACTCACCTCTAGCACAACACTTATGGTCAGTGCATGATCCAGTCTCACAAGGTGGATAAAGAGACATTAATTTTGTACTACAAAATGAGTTTTTACTTCGTGGTTATAGGTAGTTCCTATTCGCACATTTTTTTTAAAATTTTTTTTTAGTAATACTCTGTAGATTTTTTGAAATCCAAAGATGATGCAGTATTGATTTATTCTTATGACCAAGATGAATTACAAGAATAGTTTTTAGATTCTCTAAATGTGCAATTGTAATTAAAGCTTCATATCTCCAATTATTGAATTCTTAAAACAGCAGTAAGTGTAAGGCCCCTCAATACCAGAATAAGAATTCAATTAATTAACTAATTCTAAATTATTTTCAAAACAAGTATTTATGGAATATGGAAAAGAAATTGGGATAATAATTGATTTTGTTTCAAGTGAAAATCCAAATGGAAAAAAATCGATAGTAAAACGTATCCCAAGAGTGCTAAGTTAGTAGGATTTCCTACGCCTTTGGCATATTTATTACGTACATTTAACGGATGGGTAGTTACTAATTTTGTAATTGTTCAGTTGGATAATTGCAACCTCACAAATTTGCAACAAATAGTAAAGTAATGAATAAAGTGTATTGAAATTATTAACACTACCCTTTATTGAACAATCCAATAAAAGTGATTTTGTAAAGCTAGAACTGATAATTAGCTAAAATTATGCAAGAAGTGTATGAAAAATCTAAACTTAAGGTTATTAACAAGACTAGACTACTGTTTGAGCCCCTTTTTAGGTCAAAATGTATTTTGGAATAGTATTTAGAGAATACCTTGTTAGAAAATAAAGAAAAGTTTTGCTAAAGAATGTTTGGTTGAAAACGAGTTTGAAAAATGGGGGCCAAACATAGGCTAAGCCCCTGTTTGACAGTCATTATTTGAAATTTTTTTTTTCAACATACTCATTTCAACTATACAATTACACAATAAAATATTTTGCATGTAAATTCAAAATACTTTCTTATCTTTAAACCTCACGTTCTCTTAAAAATTACTATTCAAAACTTTATTTTTCCTAAATAATGAATGTCAAACAGAGGCTAAAATTGTTAGGAGTTATGATATCACATATTTTTTCTGATTAAACTTCGCCTAAGTATGTTCGTGTTGCGATCAACTTTACTTTAATACTTAGGACGACTCCTTGTCAAAGTTTTGGTGTGCTTTTTCTGCTTTTTTCCTCATCATTGCACTTCTCTGCGGCCTCAGCTATAGCTCCTTTCTTCAACAACTAATTCCACCTCCTCAAATTATCCCCACCATCATTTTCTTGTCTTTCTCTATTCAAATTCGCGGTTAACCTTGATGAGAACCTCTATGAACCATTCAACTATGTGAAAGAAGATAGTAATCATGCAATGTCAAAATATATTTGGTTTGTTCTATAGCAAAATGGCACCCTCCTCAGTGCAAAAGTCTTGTAGGAACAACTAAATGCAGTCTTTTTCCCCTAATATTCTAAGATTATAAGGATCTTATATTGGAGTATCCATCGAGAAATTTTGAAATATATTCTAATTCAATATATTAGTTTTGAACCTTAGCAATTTTGAAATATTACTTTAATAAAGTTTTAAAATTACTAAAATCATATGCATTCTTTATTTCTTTAAAATTTTGGATACAAGATTATTAGCACAAAATGTCCCTACATTCGGAGTTCATAGTGCAAAACATTCCTATGCTTCCTTCATTTGCATTTTTACCCCTATGTCCACCTTTTGTTGCAGAAATCATCATTTTCATCCAATTTCTCAATAAAAATATATGAAATGATGAATATATTACTTCCTATTTAAATACTGATGAATATTCTTTTCCGATGATTGATGTTAGGAAAAACTGATGATGAAATACTGATGAGTTCTCAAATGAATCTTCCTATGATTGATGTTACAAGCTTTCAGTAAAAAAAATAAAAAAACTCAGGAGATTACCTACCGTAGCTAATGCGAAGGCTCGGTGGGGAACCAATTGTAAGTTTTATTCTTTTACTGTTTTGTGATTTAAAAAATAATAATAATAATAATGTCATTGAAGAGACAGAAGCTTCATATTATTAATTATTAGACACGCTTTCATGTAAAGGCAGAGTTCGTTCAAGCAATAGGATTGGTTGATATCCTTGAAAGCTGACCTCGTGTCGGACTACAATGGAATTAAAAACGAGAAGGCACTAGAGAAAGCAAAGGCGAATGTAGCATCATTCGAAAACTGTTTTTTGGTAAATGCAGTATGCTAATAAGCTTTTAAAACAGTATTCTATATTAGAATATTTAGTCACGTAACAGTCCGTGAATATTTTCTTATGGGTTTACCTAGTTATTTCCAGTGTCATATGTTTTTATAATGTTTCACATGTCATATGCTTTACGCCAGCGGTGGATCCAAGGGAGTCTCATAAAGTCACTTGACCCTCCAGTTTTTATAATTTTTTTTTCGGGCTCACTATGGAATATCAAACGAAATTGAAATATTACATTCTTAATATCATTTTGAAGTACTCACGGTCTAGTATTTCACGTCGTTAATAGTGTGCAGAATGGCCAATCGTAACAAATGTTACGATGAGTCAAAATAGACCGTTTCAAACTAATATTTTAAGAATTTCCATAACAAGCTAACTTTAAAAAATTTTTGACGAGTATACGCTAGTTGTATTCATAAATCTTCTATATCATCTCGAAATTCATTTTGAGAACTATATCATAAACTTATCGAATGATCTAAATGATTATCGAAAATAGTTAAACGTACGTCAAACATGTATGCCAAAAAGATACGTATAGCTCGTCTTTTTTGAAAAAAATCAATTATTTTATTAATGTTTATTATTTTTGCGTAACAAATTTCTCAATATAATTTACATCATTTTATTAGGAAATTTTATATGTGGTATGACATCAATTTTTCTATTTTTTTTTGGACATAAAAGTTCTTAATAAAAATTCTATTACTTCATAGGGGTAATAAATTGTTATACTAATTTTTCTTCTTAATTATTTTTATATCTGAAAAAAATTTATATATAAAAAAATTCAATCATTTTTAGGATTTTTTTATTATTATTATTGTTACCTTTTCCTCTTGATCAATTAATTTTTTTTCGAATGAAGTCAAAAATTAGATTAGGGAATTTAATAGATTATTTAAAAAAAAAAATTGGTTGAGAGGAAAAAGTAACAATTATAAAAATAATCTTAAAAATGATTAAATTTTTTTTATATATAAAATTTTTTTAGATATAAAAACAATTAAGATGAAAAAGTAGTATAACAATTTATAACCTCTATAAAGTAATGAAAATTTTTGTCACTTTTTTTAAAAGTTTGATTGTGACTCCCTAATGCAAAATGTCTGCGTCCACCCCTACTTTAGACTATCTGATTGCTAACTTCAAACAATGTTTTATTCCTAATATAATTTCTCAAGATTTTTTGCAATAAGTTCGTCAGAAAAATGAGATTTTCTTGAAGTGTAATCTAGTGTTCATGTCGTTTATAGTTGTGTTTCGACAGAGTTGTGAATTGTCAATTATTGAAAAGAAATCTGATTCAGAGTCCAGAGAGCTCACTAGTGTGATAGCCTGAACTGTCAATTATTGAAAAGAAATCCGATTCATTTTCAACTTGTTACGTTAAAATTTCACACAACAGTACAGTTTAAAATGAACATTGAAAAATATAAGTCAAACTGTAATTTATTTGCGCCCTCAACAACTATTTCTAATCTTCTTGTGTTTGTACAACTTCAGATCTGAAAATTAGAACTGATAAAAATGAAACTATAAAGATAAACATATATAATAGAAAGAAGGAAGCAAAAAACGAATTTCTTGTACGACAACTAACACGGCCTTTCCCATTTAACAGATTCAAAAAAATATCTCCACACTTTAACCAGTACAGCTCTTGGAACCACAAAAAAATAATAATAGTAATAATAATAAAAAATAATAAATAAATAAATAAAATAAAAGTAGCTTTACAAACCAAGTCCTGTCTCACTCAAATGATTTTTCTATCCGGAAAGCCATGCCTCGAAAGTTGCATGAGGAATCATCCTCGAAAGTTGTCTGAGGAATCCATTATAGTACTATCCTTTAATTGTGCTGTTGTCGGAAATTTTTCGCACTGCAAGCCCCAGACGGTTAATTGAAGATTGGGGTTCAACCAAAACCCGTCCTTACTCATATGACAAGCCACTGTTTGATAGTTTTTTTTTTTTTTTTTTTCAAAATATATTTTTCTCTCTCTCTCTTTTTTAATCCCACATTTTTTAACTAAATAATATTACACGTAAATAAAAAAAATTTCCTTATTTTTTAACCACACATTTCATATCAATTTACTATTTTAAAATGCATTTTTACATAAAAATGTCTATCAAACACCCTTCAAATAAAGTGTGTTAAGTTGTCGAGACCAGGGGCAGACCCAGGGGTCCCCAGGGTCACTTGACCCTCCAATTATTATTATTATTATTATTATTATTATTATTATTATTACTATTATTATTATTATTATTATTATTATTATTATTATTATTATTATTATTATTGCTGAGTTCTCGGGCTCACTATGAAATATCAAACGAAATTGAAATATTACATTCTTAATATCATTTTGAAATACTCATAGCCTAATATTTTCACGTCTTTAATGTTGTGCGAAATGGCTAATCGTATCAAATATTATGATGCATCAAAATAGGCAATTTCAAATTAATATTTCGAGAATTTCAATAACAAGCTAATTTTAAAAAATTTTCGACAATTATACGTTAGTCATATCCATAAATCTTCTATATCCTTTCGAAACTAATTTTGAGAACTATATCATAAACATATCAACTAATATAAATGAATATTGAAAATATTTAAATATTCGTCTAACGTGTACACTAAAAAGAGACATATAACTCGTCTTTTTTGAAAAATGTTTATCAACTAATATAATGTTTATTAAAATAATGTTTATTATTTTTGCATGAAAATTTTCTCAATATAATTTACATCATTTTATTAGAAAATTTTATATGTGGTATTATGTCAAATTTTGTTGTGTGAAATGGCTAATTGTAGCAAATGTTATGACGCGTCAAAATAGGCAATTCCAAACTAATATTTCGAGAATTTCGATAACAAGCTAACTTTAAAAAAATTTCAAAGATTATGCGCCAATCATATCTATAAATCTTCTATATCCTTTCGAAGTTCATTTCGAGAACTATATCATAAACATATCTAATTATCTAAATAAATATCGAAAATAGTTAAACATGTATGCTAAAAAGAGACGTATAATTCGTCTTTTTTGAAAAAAAATAATTATTTTATTAATGTTTATTATTTTTGCGCGAAAAATTTCTCAATATATTTTACATCATTTTATAGGAAATTTTATATGTGGTATGATGTCAAATTTTTTTTTATGTAAAAATTCTTAATAAAATTTTTATTACTTCATAGGGGTTATAAATTGTTATACTACTTTTTCATCTTCATTATTTTTATATTTGAAAAAATTTTATATATAAAAAAATTCAATCAATTTTAGAATTTTTTTTTATTATTGTTACATTTTCCTTTCGATTAATTAATTTTATTAGGAAATTTATTAGATTATTTTTTTAAAAAATTAATTGATTGAGAAGAAAAAGTAACAATAACAAAAAAAATCCTAAAAATGATCAATTTATATATATATATATATATATATATATATATAAAATTTTTAGACATAAAATTAATCAAAATGAAAAAATAGTATAGCAATTTATAATTCATATAAAATAATAAAAAAAATTCATTGCTTTTTTTTTTTTTTTTTAATTTGATTTTGACCGTAAAATGTCTGCGTTCGTGGTCAAGTCTAATTGTCTCTGTGAGAAGATAGTACGCGGATAAGAGATTGGATGAGCATTTTTCTTTTACGAAACATCCAACTTTTTAGCATGTGCAAAGTTCATACCAAATTTGGCCGTTTCCTTCAAAACTGACATCTTATTTGCTGTACACTCAACATTATTGTACTTGCTATATGACTAAATTTCTAAATACAATCATGGATATTCCTAAACAAAATATGAGGTTTTGAAAAAACAATATTTCCAACACTTAAGTCATTTGTACAGAAATTTTTCCACAGAATTTGGCCAGATTACTCTCATGTGTGAGATCTATCGTAAATAAAAAATTACCAAAAAAACCCCCACCGACCCCCCTATGTGTGTGTTCTGATAGGCTTCATTTTTACACAAAACACAGTTTTCTACAATGAAGACTTGCTCGATGTGTTTATTGGTTACTTGACTCAATTCTTCCCGTGTGTATATCGACACACACTAAACTTTATAAATAAGTTTCTTTGGTTAATGTGTGTTTTTATTAAAAATTAGTTTTGAACAAAATATGTTGTATGAAAATAATTATTTTGTAAAAGGTAAAATTAGAAGACAATTAAAGGAATGACCAAAACCTACCGATTTGGTAGCTAGAGAAATTACACTACACTAATTTGTTGTCCAAAACATGTGTCTAAAAAATTAGTAAACGCTGATTTTTTTAACCTCTCATAAATGATGCCATTCAAAATCGATCAAAATTGATGAAAAACTCATGGCAACTACATCATTTTCTTGTCATCAAACCAAAGTTTTTACTTTTATTTTTATTTTTTTTAAATTTTTTTTATACTAAAAAAATATCAAGAAAACCTGTGAAGCATATGGCTCTGCAGGCCTCAGCCAATGACTTAACGGCATCTGGCTAGTTTGACATTTCAACAATATGTTTTAGCAAGTTATTTTAAATCCTTCATGTTGGAGTGGAATTTTATGATTCTTCTGATCTTAGAAATTGGCACAAATAGAAGCATGGACAATCAGGATTACCTTTGCTATAGGAACTTCGGCCTCACACTTATTTCTGCAAAAAATCTTCCAAATGTCCGTAAATATTTCAAACCCAAAGTGTATGCCAAAGTTACATTCTGTGGTGACAAGAAAACTGAGAAGCGAACTCTGGCCGACAAGCACGGTGAGTCGAATCCAGGATAAGTTACATTTGGATAAATTAACCTTGAAATTTAGTCAAAATTAAAAAAAAAAATTATTAGTAAAAGGAAAAAAGAAGTGTGAGTCTCAATTAAAATTTTACATTGTTTACTCCTTACAATGTAATGGGCGGTTAATGTATGTAGTTCAACAATTGTAATGGTTGATGGGTATTTGAGTATGATTTTATTTATTAATTGGAATGGATAATTGTCTATTTGAATATTGAGTTTAACATGATTATATCTAATATAGATTTATTTTTAATTATTTTGAGATATTACTTTAATTAATTTTTAAAATTTCTAGAATCATAGTCCTTATTTCTTTAAAAGTTTCTATAAAATATATTATTTTGTCACTAGAATAATTTAGAATGTTTTACTTGCCAAAGTTGAGACATAGAAAATGAAATGTCACTTCGCTTTTACAAGTAATCAGATATGGCGTGGCATATATTTGTACCTTAGCAGTATCTATGAAGAAGTGCTTCTTTTTCCTTTATTTTTGTTTGATGACAACTCAATGGCTCCAATATAGGTTCTTTTTCAATTTTGTATACATTTTTACCACGCAACATTAAGAATAATTTTAATTTTTTCGCGTAAAGATATCATGTTCAAGTCATGCATATGTAAATCAATTAATTTTTTTGTACTTGTTAAAATGCATACATACGTAAATTATAATGTATACTCATTATAATTGAAACCTTGATATTGAATATAGTTAAATGCGTTACTTATCAACCAATATATTATAATCTTTTTGTTTCACTTTTTTTTAGTGTCAATATAATATGACACACATAATAAAAATTTTATTTTATTTGAAATCATCCTTAATTCCTATTTGATTTTTAGAATGACTAATTGTGGAAATCCAATTCACTTGTATCCAACAATTTTCATTTTATTAACCAAAAGAAAGGAAACATCTTTATTCCATAATCTTTCTTAGTTTTTATAGAGAAATAGTTCCACTTTCTTTATCATTTAGTCAACCATCGGCATAGGAGCTTTAACTTTTCCACGCTCATCTACGAAAATACAGACTTTATTATAACAGAAATTTCAATTACATAATTGCCATCAGCACGGTGAGTCGAATCCAGCATGGAATTATACATTGAAATACAAAATTGATGAATCAGGTATTGCGCAGTACGGCCTCCAACTGGTCATCAAATTATACTGTAAAAGAACACTCGGGGATCGATTTGTCGGAAAGATTTACAAATCGATGAAAGAACTTTTTGATGATGCTCAAAGCTCGGGAGGCAGTGCCGTATTATCTCTCCCAATCAAGAAGGGTTCTGAAGAAACGGGTGGGCGTTTGACTTTTTCGTACAAATTTGGGGAGATAATTCAGGAGAAAAAACCAGGTTTTTTTAAGAGAATTCTGCTTCCTGGAGCTTGTATTTTGTTCAGTGTGGTAACTCTAGCAACAGTTGGAGTGGGTGTACCGTACGTTCCTTTTGATGGTCAACATGATATTGTCCATCCAGATGAGTTGAATGAGAAGAAATGAAATGTCCTTACAAGTTGAAAATCCTCGACATATCTGTTACTCAGCACTACATGCATGCAGTATTAAATATGACATAGGAGCTTCTAAATAGTTGTTAACATGTGTTCGAATCCGATATTATGATGTTTTAATATTAAATTCCAGAGTCTTTAATTTATTTTTTGGTTTTGAATGATTGTTAGGATTTCATTGTTCCAATTATTTGACCATTAATTGGTTATATTTGTGATTTCTATTTCATCCGAGAGAGTAATATGAGTTATAGTATATAGTAACAACTAACTGTCATTGTAAAGTCCAATAGAAAATAAAAACGAATAAAAAAGTATCCCTATGACTTGCATGAGCTTATAAATGTTCTTGTGACGCATTTTCATATTTTCACATTATTCATAGTAAATATAGTAGGGTCATATGTGGACTAGATTTAATTCTAATCGAGATATTATTAAATAAATATGAACATTGATCGTTAACTGAATAAGTATTTTCAGAGTCATTATTTGATATTAAAATGAAAGAATATTGGGGCATTTGAGGTCCTAGTGATTTTAATTAGTTATAGACCTTAATTTTGCAAACATAAATCATCCACTGAACGTTGCTATTAATCTTAGTTGCAAAAACTAAAACTTTTCGTAATGTTCAAAAAATATTGCGAAAAGTAACATTTGAGACATTTAAAAAAAAATGTTGTCAAAACTCAATTACATTGACTAATTGCAACATTTACTTATTAAAATGTTGTAATAGACCCCTTTAACAATACTTAACTACCGAATGTTGCATTTAATGTGTTGCAAATGTTCATTTTTGGTGTCGTGATTGCTTTGATTTTTCACTAAAGTAATAATATGTCAAAAAACTCATTGGTCAAATTTTCAAAACAACCATTTAAGTAAACCATGAAATCATTCTAATAATTAACAGTAAAATTTAGAAATTAAGTTAAAATTGAAATAATTAATTTAGTGACCGATCATGAAATTAAGACAACTAAACAAAAAAGTAATGTTCAATAAAAATTTAAGGGAGCCCAACACATATTAGAATGAACAAATAATTATCAAAAGATAAGTTACATTTGGATAAATTAACCTTGAAATTTAGTCAAAATTAAAAAAAAAAATTATTAGTAAAAGGAAAAAAGAAGTGTGAGTCTCAATTAAAATTTTACATTGTTTACTCCTTACAATGTAATGGGCGGTTAATGTATGTAGTTCAACAATTGTAATGGTTGATGGGTATTTGAGTATGATTTTATTTATTAATTGGAATGGATAATTGTCTATTTGAATATTGAGTTTAACATGATTATATCTAATATAGATTTATTTTTAATTATTTTGAGATATTACTTTAATTAATTTTTAAAATTTCTAGAATCATAGTCCTTATTTCTTTAAAAGTTTCTATAAAATATATTATTTTGTCACTAGAATAATTTAGAATGTTTTACTTGCCAAAGTTGAGACATAGAAAATGAAATGTCACTTCGCTTTTACAAGTAATCAGATATGGCGTGGCATATATTTGTACCTTAGTAGTATCTATGAAGAAGTGCTTCTTTTTCCTTTATTTTTGTTTGATGACAACTCAATGGCTCCAATATAGGTTCTTTTTCAATTTTGTATACATTTTTACCACGCAACATTAAGAATAATTTTAATTTTTTCGCGTAAAGATATCATGTTCAAGTCATGCATATGTAAATCAATTAATTTTTTTGTACTTGTTAAAATGCATACATACGTAAATTATAATATATATTCATTATCATTGAAACCTTGATATTGAATATAGTTAAATGCGTTACTTATCAACCAATATATTATAATCTTTTTGTTTCACTTTTTTTTAGTGTCAATATAATATGACACACATAATAAAAATTTTATTTTATTTGAAATCATCCTTAATTCCTATTTGATTTTTAGAATGACTAATTGTGGAAATCCAATTCACTTGTATCCAACAATTTTCATTTTATTAACCAAAAGAAAGGAAACATCTTTATTCCATAATCTTTCTTAGTTTTTATAGAGAAATAGTTCCACTTTCTTTATCATTTAGTCAACCATCGGCATAGGAGCTTTAACTTTTCCACGCTCATCTACGAAAATACAGACTTTATTATAACAGAAATTTCAATTACATAATTGCCATCAAGAACAGTCATAGCAGTCACCAATGGATTGTCTTTCTCAATAATTTTCTTGGCTTGTTCTCCATCCATACCGAGTGTGTTAGACCACATGAATTTGTACCCTATATAGAGATATTTATGGGTAGGGAACAAGCAACATGTGTAAGCTACAGGGTCGATGCCAAAGGGTTTAAAGAACGTCATCTTTTGTTTTTCGCAACGTTCATTGAACGTTGCGGAACCCTTTTTAGCAGTGTTCACTGAATGTTGTGGAAAATGTTTCTGCAACTTTCAGTGACTGTTGCCGTAAGGGGTTTTTTTTTATTTTTATTTTTTTAATGCATATTGACTCGCAAAATTGAAAATAAATCCAAATGAACAAATTTTGAAATTGCATAAATTTGATAATTTCATTACAAATTTCTGAATCATATAGTAAAACATTAAATGTGATACACCACTATCTAAAAAGGGAGCACGGCTTCTAATTGTGACAATTTCTCAAATACAATTCACAAAGAAATCGCAAAAAATGAGAGGTAATTGAACAACTGTGACAACTTCCATGCTTGATCTACGCAAATCAGCATCTATTCCAGTTACTTCAGTTCCTTCAATGACAATAACAGTCACAATAATCTTCCTTCCTTTAATTTACCAATTATTTTTACATTTGTTACTTTCGGGGAAGATGTGGCAACCACATGTAATATCTTAATATTATAGCACAAAGCATTTAAAAATAAGCTACTAAAGGACCTGACTTAACTATCTGAGACATTATTGACATAGGCTTTCCTGCTTGGCCTAAAAAATAGTGAAAAAACATTGAGTTAATATCAGCTAAAATACTAGGGAATGCTAAATGAGAAATATTGTTAGACTAGTCCAAACTATGAAGAATGAGCTAACCTTCAAAGTTCACAGGTATATAAACAAAATCCAATCTATTGATAGCTCTAAATAGAAGTAAGAATTGAAGTACAAATAAAATAATAATAATAATAATAATTTTAGGTCAGTAGATTCAATCGAAGAAAGTACGTAGCAAGCCAATAATCTTTTCCTTTCTATAAGAAGTTACTAGTGCAATTAGGCTAAATATATATGGTGAAGTACAAAGGTCAAATATTTTATTCACGAGTCTTAAAATCAAGAAAAACACTGCATGAGGAACATGATAAGTGAGAACAGTCAAGATATCAGTTCGGATCTACAACTGCAGATCAGCTCCACTAGGTTATCTCAGAGTTCAAATATAGGTCAAGTTACAGCTAGAGAAATTTTATTGGGAATGATGCTCGAAATCACCCTTTGGATAAGCTGCAATCCCAATAAAGCCGGTATTCAATGTTTTCGAAAGAGATCATTTTTATGTACAAAAAAGGTTGTAAAATAAAAGTTACAGTGAATAACTGATAACAAACACATGATCCATTGATTAGTTAGCTAAAAATCAAATCTTGAACAGAAAAGGGAATTAAACTTATACAATTATAGTAAAAAAGTCAAATAGGCATTTATTTAAATTATCAAATCCAACATTCTAATGGTAGATAATGCAATAGCAAATTAAAAAGTTCAAGAACCAATAAAATATTAGACTATCTCTGATTCCTTAAGGATGATTAAACTATAAACGGATCAATCTTCTAATACAAACAATTAGATTAAACAATATGTTTTGACAAATGCTTTACATATATATTGCATTTTAGGAAAGCTCAATATTTTATATATAGATTGTAAGAAAACTCCAACACTTCTTTTTCTCTCAGTTACCTTTATATTCCACCCCTCTCTCTCTATTTATATACTGATGTAAAACTCAGCCATTGTTTCACAATCGACCTCTTCCAAAACCTTCTTCTACCATCCCGCAAAAATCCCACAAATTAAGTCAAATTAAGTCATGTCTACAGACGAAGAATTCGAGCTTGAAATTCAGTTCCCAATGCTAAAGATCAAGAATGAACATGATCAAAATGGCATAATTATCAACGGGGAAGAGTACTGTAGCACCCCAAAAATCTCCTGAATATACAAATACTATCCCTGAAGCACTGAACCGCCCACCGGCGCCGTGGAAGCCGAAGTCGGCACTCTCATGCAAGAGAAAATTGTATTATGAAACTGAATCACTTTTCAGAATTTTTGTGGCCAATATTAATGGTGCAGGCGCCACCATGAAGAGGAGATGTTCAGTCTTGAAGTAATGATGCCATGGTGTTTCAAAGAGACCATACATAAACATGGCTATTTCGTAATTTGTGAGATTACATGATATCTAGATTCAGGAAAATTATGCTGCTGTCAAAATTTGGATCCAAATTTATGTACTTTTTGAATATACTCAGATTATTGGTCCAACTGATATTGCTTAAAGTATTTCTTGGTTTTATATGATAAATTGCCAGTTATTCTTTTCTGCTTATTCATTTTTAACTGATTTTACTTTTTTTAAATATATAATTAAAATTAAAAATGAAACATTTAAACCTAAGGTAACAATCAAATTAAGTGTGACTCAATGGTAAACACACATAATAATATAGCCTGTAGAAGGAATTAGAAGATGTCATCAATGATAAAACCACACGCAACTTGCAAATAATGTAGGCAATTAACAACATTTCAACCAAGAGGATACAGAGTAAAGTTGAAAAATGACCAGAAAACACAATACTAAAACCGTATTTGACTATGCTCAGATTTAAACCCATCAACAAAAAAACAAAGATTAAAGCCTCAAGGATTTACAGAAACATTGATGTTAAATAGAAAAAATGAATTACACTAAAGGAAATTAAAGGAATCAGAAAAGAAAGTCAAAGTCCAAACCTTTCACGATCTGTAAGAGATGAAGACCTTTGAAGTGAACCATGAACCCCAGAAGGAGAGTACTGGAAGTAACTTCCCGGTGGGATTCCACTCTCCATACACCCAGTAATTCATTCTCGATTGCAGATTTGCACCTTGCCGATCTCGGGGGGGGGGGGGGGGGGGAGAGAGGGAGAGAGAGAGAGGAGCTGAACCTCAACGATTTGATCATTCGTTTTGCTAATTGAGGCGAACGTTTAACAAACTATCGATCAATTAATTGTAGGTTTTCTGGGCAAACCCAGTCAGGGACGGATCAAGACGACTTGGGTTAGTGGGTCAAAAATAAAATTTATAGGGTATTTTCTAATAAAAAAAAGCTAAGAAAAAAAAAGCTAAGGAAAAGATTTTTTCCCCCAAAATCTAGAGAGTCAATTGCCCCTATAATCCCTCCCAGGTCCGCCCTTGGACCCAGTACATGGATGTTTCTCCTTACCATGAAAGGGTTGTGGTGGTGCTTCCAGAGACAGTGACGTCCACTACCATTAAGGGGGAAAAGAGTATCGCAGGAGAAGAAGTGATGAGAGACGAGTGAGAGGCGGAGAGGAGAAAAGATGAAAAAAATAGGGCTGATTTGAAATGATTTTGATGAGTTATTTTTTTTAGTTTGGGTCGGATAACTTTTAAAGAGTTACAAGGATTTTGGCAACGTTCATTAGCTGCGAAAAGTTCCACTCTTGGCAACGTTCAATGAACGTTGCAAAAAGTGGAACTCTATGCAACATTCAATGAACGTTGCGAGAAGTTCCTTTTTGCAACATTCACACAAAGAATGTTGTTAAAACTCAATAAAGTTAATTAATCGCAACATTCACTTATCCGAATATTGTCATAGACTCCTTTAGCAACATTCAATCAATGAATGTTGCCTTTTGAATGTTGAAAAAGGGTTTTTTTGTTGTAGTGTATATGTAATCATAATTAAAGTTTCACATCTATTATTGAATTCTTATAACAGCAGTAAGTGCAAGGCCCCTAGTATTGCTTTTGTTTCGAATTCAAAAATCTCGAGAAAAATCTAATTACTAATTAGAGTCGTATCCCAGGGCTTCGACTAATACATTGTGAAGCGGGTCCAAGTTTTGCCGAACCCAAATGGGAAGAAGAGGGTTAGCCAAGTTGCAGTCCACTTTGTACGTTTGCTGAGCAACTGTACCAGGAGAAAAATTCCTATACGTTTCTAAGGAGGGTATTGCTCATCTACTTCTATCCCAATGAGCCGACCACTACCAAAAATAAGAATTAAATCAATTAACTAATTCCAAATTATTTTCAATACCATTATTTATGGAATTTGGAAAAGAAATTGGGGTAATAATTGATTTTGTTTCAAATGAAAATCGAAATGGAGAAAAACGATAGTAGAAACTATCCCAAGAGTGCTAAGCTAGTAGGATTTCCTACGCCTTCGGCATGTTTATTATGTACATTTAATGGATGGGTAGTGCCTAATTTTGTAATTGTTCAATTGGATGTTTGAAACTTCACAAATTCACAAATAAACAAATAAAATGGTGCGTAAAGTGCATTGAGATTATTAACACTACCTTTATATGAACAATCCACTAAAAATGATTTTGTAAGCTAGAACTGATAATTGGTTAAAATTATGCAAGAAGTGTTTGAAAAATCTAAACTTAAGGTTATTGAGACTAAGTTCATGTTTCAACCCCATTTTGGGGCAAAATCCATTTTGGAATAGTATTTGCATTGTTCAGAAATAAGAAAAAGAATGAGTTTGTGTGTAAAATTATTTATGAAGGAATGTGCAATTGAAAACGAGTTTTGAAAAAATGATTGCAAATCTAGGCTAAATCCCTATTTGACAACCATTATTTGAAAACTCTTTTTTTGTATACTCATTTTCAACTACACATTCAAATAATAAAATATTTTGTACGTAAATCTAAAACATTTTCCTACTTTTTAAGCATGCATTCTCATAAAAATCACTATTTAAAACTTTATTTTTCCCAAATAGTGGATGTCAAATAGAGGCTAAAAGTGTTATGTCTCATGATATCGCACAATTTTTCCGAATAAACTTCGCCTAAGTATGTTCATGTTGCGATCAACTTTACTTTATTACTTAGAACAACTCCTTGTCAATGTTTTGGTGCACTTTTCTGCTTTGTTCCTCGTCATTGCACTTCCACTTCCACTACGGCCTCAATTGTTGCTCCTTTCTTCAATGACTAATTCCACCTCCTCAAATTACTCCCCATCATCATTTTCTTGTCTTTCGCACTTCAAAGTCAGGGTTAACGCTTTATGAGAACTTCTATGAACCATTCAAATATGTCAAAGAATATAGTTATCATGCAATGCCAAAATATATTAGGTTTGTTCTATAACAAAATGGCATCCTCCTAAATAAATGAAAAAATCATTTAGGAATAACTAAATGCAGCCTTTTTTCCTAATATTCTAGGATTATAAGGATATTATAAAATTGGATTATCCATCAAGAAATTTTGAAATATATTATAATTCAATTTAAGTGTTTTGAACCTCAACAATCTTCAAATATTACTTTAATTATGTTTTAAAATTACTGAATCATATTGCATTCCTTATTTCTTTAAAAGTTTTGATAAAGGATTATTAGCACAAAACGTTCATACAATTGGAGTTTTTGTGCAAAACTTCCCTACGTTTCATTTTTTTGAATTCTCACACCCCATTTTCGACATTTCATTGCAAAAGATCATCATTTTCATCCAATTTCTCAATAAAAATATATAAAAATAACGAATATACCCTCCTATTCAAACTACCAAGTTCCACTTGAAGAGATGTCAAAATATATGCATAAATTGTCCTTGTTTGACAACCCTTAAATTTTTAATACATTTTTGTCTTTTTTTTTAACCACGCATTCTTCATTATAATAATATTACATGTAAATCAAAAAAATTATCTTCTTTATTGAGCACACATCCTCCCAAATATACTATTACATAATATATTTTATCAAAATTTCTCTAAATAACGTGTGCCAAACAAGGGCGGGTGTAAATCCAAGCAAAACCAGCCAAAACCAAAATCCCCAACTTCTGCACTTACAGTAACTCTCCAGTTACTCTCAACAATTCTAGTAAACCAGGAAACTAGGACAATGATTTATCCAAATCAATGGCCTTTTCTTAATCAAATTCGCCAATATGTGATCAAGAAATGCATTGCATTTGAATGAATTTTTCCTCCAACTGGACCAAAAGACTTGTTTTGAGATCGGTTTTGAGTCTCTTAGTGGGGAGAAAAAATGAGTATAGAACCTTGATGAAAAGCGGCTGCAGTAGAGGAAAGAAGAGAAGCCATGAATTGATATCAAGAATCTTGAAACGGACAACAGACCCGGACTCTCTGGTGCAGTGCGGGCAATTGCCCACACTGAACTTTGGGCCCATGTTTTAAAGAGCCCCATGTGTTGAAATGTAATGGTGGGATGGACAATATTTGTCAACTTTTTGGATTTTTTAGGTAACTCAAAATAAATGAACTTTTGTGGTTTCTGGATGATTTAATTTTTATGATGATTTCGTGTTTGATGTTTTTGGTATTGAGTGATTAATTGTGAAATAAAGAAAGATTTTTATTTATTTACTTTTTTTGTTTTATCGATTTAGGAAATTAAGTATAGATTATGCGATTGGCAGAAAGTTTAAGTTAAGAAGAAAATTTGGCAATTGATCTTTTGGAGAGCTTTATTTGGGTAATTTGACTTCATTTTTTTTTTTTTTTTTTTTTTTAATGTAAACTTTGTTGTTACGTATTTATTGATAGTTTTTTTTTTCTTTCCCACTATTGAAAAATAAACTATTTCATTAGTATCAGTCACTCATCTGTGCATGAACAAGTGGAAGGTCACTTGCCATTATTCTTGAATTAGTATGCAAAAGATAACTGTAATAGGCACTTGCAATATGCCTGATTCAAGTTTTATCTTCCCAACTTTGATAGGATACATCTATAAATTGGCATAGTTTTTATGTAAAAATGAGATATTCAAGTTTTATATAAACTATGTTGTTACGTATTTATTGATAGTTTTTTTTTTCTTTCCCACTATTGAAAAATAAACTATTTCATTAGTATCAGTCACTCATCTGTGCATGAACAAGTGGAAGGTCACTTGCCATTATTCTTGAATTAGTATGCAAAAGATAACTGTAATAGGCACTTGCAATATGCCTGATTCAAGTTTTATCTTCCCAACTTTGATAGGATACATCTATAAATTGGCATAGTTTTTATGTAAAAATGAGATATTCAAGTTTTTTGTAAGACAATACATCTTACCATAAAAAAATATTTTTTTGAATGAGTTACATTTTTTGAAGATTGATAATGAAGTTATTGTACAACGATATCAAAATATGAAAAATCGCAAGGAATAAGTGTAACTTATGAACTATATTATTTTCAGTATTTTTGTGATATTGTTTCATGAACAAAAAACTCAAAGTTTGGCGTCGATTAAATTGTGCCCGCACTGAAGAAATATTCTGGCTCCGCCCTGTCTCTGAGCGTGACCTCGAGGAAGACAAACCTTGTACATCACCCTCCTTTAAACCCAAAAGGAACCCATAGCCCCTCGGGGCCAGTGGTGTAAATGATAGGAGTGTGGTAGTTTCAGCCTTGCTCGCATTCGTAGTGTGAGAGTTCGATTCCTGAAATATGAAATTGGACTCTTTATGGGCACTAGTGTATAGGTAAGTACTTGTTCCCTGACCTATTGAGGTACATCTTGCGATTTACCTCTCTTACGATGCTCCAGGGACGGGATGATGGGGGCTCTTAAGGTTGGGGTTCAACCAAAAAGGAACCTGACTCATAAATATAACGCTAAATAACGTAATTATTGCAATTTTGTTGGGCATGTATTTATTTTTATATGATTTTTTGGAATTATTGCAATTCAGTTGAGTGTAGCTGCTAAGTGCTTCGTATGGTTCCTTCACATGGGGAGAACTTTCTTGTTGCCTATTACCTGTCCCGGTTTGTTTCTCTGGAAAAATTGTTTTGTACATTGAATTTTGTTGTTGCAGTTTGACAATTTGGCATTGGTTGTCATATTTGTGAATTTAGTTGTCTACTGTACTTTTCAACTTCTTTGGTGGTGGGAGAGGAAAGCGAAAGAAATAGATTTTTTTTAAAAATAATTTATTTGGGACTCGTTTGTACTTTTCTAAAAAATTTGAGAGCATGATTGTAATTAGTTCTTTCGTTCTTCTTTTCTTCTCTTCTTGTTTATTTAAATAGGAGGGTGTATATTTGTCATTTCACAACTTTTTTATTAAGAAATTGAATGAAAATGGATGAAAATGATGATTTTTGTAATGAATGATGAAAATAGGAGTGAAAATGTAAGAAAATGAAACGTAATGATGTTTTTCACAATGAACTCCAAACATATGGACGTTTAGCGCTAATAATCCTTTTGATAAAATATGTTATTTTGTCACTATAATAATTAAAAATGTTACACACTTTCCAAAGTTGAGGGGTAGAAAATGAAAATTTCCCTTTGCTTTTTACAAGGAATCAGATGAGGCATGGCATATATTTGTA